TAGAGCAAAATTCCTCAAAAGGGTTATTGATGATCATTGTATTTATCTCCCCTCCCTCCTTCCCCTCCCTCCCTCCCTCCCTTCCTTCCTTCCTTCACCAGTTCCAATCAGCTCTCACCCCCACAACGCTGCTGAAACAGCTCCTGTGAAGGTCCCCAGTGGACTCCGCCATGTGAAAACCAGTGGTCACTGTCAGACTTTACGGTGTCTGAACCACTACCAGCATTTCCAGTAGTTGACCACTCCCCTCTTTCTGAAATACATCCTCTGTGAGTCTTCTGGCACACCAGATTCTTTGGGTCTTCCTCCTAAGCACAGTGCACATTCCTTGGTCTTCTTGGTCAACCACTGATACCTTTCCTTCTCTAGTCTCACTCTCCTGGTGAACTCTCCCAGTCTAACTTCAAATCCCTTTCTGTCCGGAATCAACCTTTAAAAAAATATGTCAGAACATGCCATTTCCTTGATCAAAACTCTTTTAATGGTTTCCTGTCTCTCTCAAATTCAAATTCAAGTTCAAAGTCCTTACAAAGGATTGCAAGGTCCTACCTCATTTTCTCCAACCTCATCTCCACCTATGTCTCCCCTTGCTCACTCTGTTCCAGGCCCACCTGCTGTTCCCCGACAACACCAGGCGCACTCTCAGGGCCTTTGCACTGCCGCTCCCCCTGCCCAGAACACTCTCCCCACAGAAGGGTCCCTCCTTTATCTCCTCCAGGCCTTTGCACCAATATAATTTTCTCAGTAAGTCCAACCTTGGCCTCCTTATTGAAAATAGCAATCTCCCACTCTGGCTCTTCTTGTTCCCCCTCCTGATTTTACTTTCCTTTTAGCACATGCTACCCATCTTACACACTGTATTGTTACTTATTTGTTGCTTGTTTTTTTTTTTTTCTCCACTAGCACATAACCTCCATTAGAGCAAAGATGTTTCTGTGCTGCTTGCTGCTATAACCTTGGCACCCAGGAAAGGGCCTGGGAGAAAGAAGTCAACACATATTACTGAACGAGCGATGAGGAAGTTTCAAATACCTCTTTGAGGAGTTCTGCTAGAAAAGAGAGTACAGAAATGGAGTGTGGGTAGGATAAGGCGAGATTTAATTTTTAAGATATGTAATATTATAGGACGCTTATATGCTAATAGAAATGTAGAGATAGGAAATATAGGGGGAAAAGGGAGATATGCATGACTCACAGTGTTAAGTGAGCAGTAAGACTGGAAGACATCACTGGGAGGACTGGCCTTCGATGGGAGAAAGGACAGTTTGTCCACAGAAACAGAGGAGGAGGTGAAGAATGCAGACACAGGAAGGTGGGACTTTGTAAAATTTCTCTGACTGCTTCTAATTGCGTTACTAGCTAAATTCCTTTCTGCATCAGTTGGGATGAAAGAAGAGAAGATGCACTGGAGAATTGAGAGGGAGGAGAAGGTGTGAAGTAATTTTCTAGAAAGTGGGGGTGTGGCATTAATTAGGGGAAAGTAGTGGGATTGTCTGGCCCACTGACAGTTAGTTGTCATGAATTTCAAGTGAGACCGGGGTGAGGTATGCCCCAGCGTGTTCGGGTGCATACACAGAAAGTTGTGGGGTTGGATGGAAGCAGGCTTGGAATTGTGCAGGCAAATACAAAGCAGTAACAGATGAGGAGGCTGCTTGTTGATGGTGTACGCAATGAAGTGACTGTGATGACGGACCGTGAGATCTGGCCTAGGCAAGACGGGATGTGAGGGTAAGAAGGGGTGAAGGTAGGTGGGTTACTTTGAGGCATTGTTAAGGTGATAAGGTAAATAAGTTGGCCAGTCTAGCAAGTCTGAAGAATTTTTAATTTGGGGAATAAGTCACAAAGATCAAAGCTACAGGTAAGAGAACACATTTGAAAACAGGATTATGGAAAGACGCAGTTACTGGCAGTAACAAGGTCAAGGGTCTGACTATAGTGGTGTTGGCCGAAATGCACTGGAAGGTGATCTCACTGGAGAAGTCAAGATTTTAGAGGCCAGGGTACCAGGGGGATCAACTGTGTGAATACGGAAAACATTAAGAATTAGGGGACTGTTGAGAAGAAGACAACGGGTGCTAACATTTCCTGAACTCCTGGAGAGCGACCTAGTGTCTTCTGATAATTACACAGGGAGCAGTGGCAGGGAGCACAGGTGTGTTGGCAACACAACCTAATTCAAAGGAATTAGGGGACTTGATGGAGAAGTCATGGGAAATGATCAAGAATTGGTGATGAGGGGCAAGACAGACACTTTCACTCCATTTCAAGGCTCAGTGACAGGAAAGGCACCTGCAGCAGAGACATGAGTCAGAAGACGGGTTTCAGCTGGACCAAGACAGGAAAGGGGACATTCTGAGCAGAGGTTAATAACACAGGGAACCGAGATTCCATCAACAAAAAGGCCATTCCATGGCCTTTACTAGCTACTGCAACTGAATATCCAGGAATTTTCATTTTCAAAATAGGATTTTAAAAAAAAAGACCATTCCATTTTCAGGTGTTGTTTTAGTGTCTTTGGCTTCTGTAACGTTGTAACACCACAAACGCGGTGTGGCTTAAAACAGGGGAAGTATATTGTTTCACAGCTCTGGAAGCTATTAGGTCTGAAATCAATAAGGCCGTGCTCCCCGTGAAATCTGCAGGGGAGAATCCTTCCTCCTCCCGTCTGGCTTCTGAAGTGTGCGGCCACCCTCGGAGTTCCTCGAGTTGTAGATGCATCACTGTCTTCTCTGCCCCCCCCACCACATGCCATTCTCCCTGCGTGTCTCTGACTTCTCCTCTTGAAAGGACAGCAGTCATATTGGAGCAAGGGTTCACTCTACACCACTATGACCTCATCCTAACTGATTACATTGGCAACGGCCCTATTTTCAAATAAGGTCACATTCTGGGGCACTTGGGGTTAGATCTTCAACTTATCTTTCTGAGGGACACAACTTGACCCATAACAGGGTATTGATAAAAAGTCCCCCATCTTTTACGGTATGTGTTCATATTTCAAGTTGTTTGGGTTTTCACCCTGCTCAGGGAACGAGGCCCAGTAACCCAAGTACTTCAGCAAAGCCCATTGTTGGTAAAACAGATGACAACATGAAGAGGCAGAAAGTGCTATATACTGTGCATGTCATTTAAAGTCATATGACATAAAAGTATCTATTCATATTGTGTGATGGCGCCATTGAACCTATTGGAACAGCCCAGTTGGCTCAGAGGGAAGCATTGAACTTTTAATTTAAGGGTCTTGGGGTCTCTTTCACTAGTCTTGTTGCTCTGTTATTTTAAAATGTTGAAGCAACAAAAGCTCACAAGCCTATGGGTCCAAGAGTGGGGGAAAGTCTGCCATCCCATGATGCCATAATATTGATCGGCCGAGAAAACCCCTACGGCATGGAGATGGGAAGGAGAGGGGAAAGCGTACTCATCTAGTCCTTTAGTCATGAGCCAGACAGGGCCCCAGAGAGGCAGCCTCTGAGCAGGGCTGCTCCAGGTCCCAGCCCTTGAGCTGGGGCTCCGGCGTCTGCCTGACTTTCTTAAATGGCTCCCATGAGTAGGAGGTGCTACTTTTCACTTCCTCTCAAGGGAGGAAACCTAGGTTGTACAGCCATGTACTGTACAGGTACATGTACCGTACGTTCCTAGGTCTTTGGCTCCATCTGGTCCTCTGACCCACCGCAGTGGGGACCTCAGCCTGGCCTGCATCCCATGCGTGTGGAGCGCTACCCCGGGGAAACTGTGACCCAGGTCTGGGAAACAACACCCAGGGATGACCCAGTTCCTTGCGTCTAGTGAGCAGGCAGGTACACGCCAAGTCTAGCATTTCAAACGAATGCAAATCAACATTCACTTTAGTTTCAAGCAGACTCGCTGCAAATTCTGAACTGGTGAGGTCCCAATGAATGATGTTTGTGATGTTGAGGGAAATCGTCTGATTGCTTGACTCTTGTTACCTTGTCAGAACGAAGCTGGCATTTCAGGAGGGAGGGAAAGGCTGAGGCTTCGTACTTGAAGGTGATGTCTTTCATGAATGATGCAGAACCCAACTGTTTAGCAGTACACCCTCCCTCTCCACTTCCTGCACAGCTTGTAGGAAATGAAGTCCCTCACTCTGCTCCTCTAATTGAATTCCAGCTTGGGTAATTACACCATAATTAAATAAATTTTCCCCATAGTTTCAATTCACTGACAAATAGTGCTACTTAAACAGCTACATTTCACTCCCCAAAACGCATCCCCACTCCATTTCAGTGATGAGTGGAGTGATTTGTAGTTGGGTGATGTGTGTATGAAAAATGCACAGTTCATAAAATATTTTAGGTATCATTCATGATTACATATGCTTTTCTCAGCACGAGATAACATTAATTTCTATTATAATTTTTCATCTAATTTCTCATATGCATAGTACCCGAAGAAATAAGACAGTTAATTAGCATTCTTATTTTCTGAACAATGTTTTGTTTAGTTAACCAGTAGCTTGTATCTTTTCTTTCTAAAGCACACTTCATTATCCCTGGGAGGCAGATTGGGGTAGGTGGTGTTGTTCCCTATTCTGCTGATGAAAAAATTGAGGCAGTTTTCACCAAAGTGAGGAAGCCAATGATTATCAGCTTGGGACGTAAGTTTCCTCTGGTCCCCAGGTCCAAGGCTCTTTCCATCAAACACTGGGTCACTAGCAATCATTTCAGTTTTACAAATGAGAAAATAAGGAGCCGCACATTTGTGACCTATGTCCCAGGCCACTAATTTGTAACAATAATGGTTTAGGCAGCAGTTGGAGGCTTCAGGATTGGGTCCTGAGGCTGGCCTTGGATCACGAGGCCACAGAGGTCCTTTGGGTCCACATGGTATCGCTAGGTATACCTCAACTCGAAGAACAGTTCAAAATGTGGCACACAGGCATGCGAAGGATTCAAATTTTGATTTTATCTTAATGGCCCTTTCTTCAAGGGTTGTAGATGGCTTTTAATAAAAGACATGAGAGACAACGTGAAAATACTCACAAACAGCAGCAGAAGCAGGGGTGTGACAATGATGCCCTGAAAGAAATAAAGGAGATGAAGGTCATTTATCAGCATGGAAATCAGGACACTTGCTTTGCCATTTTAAACTCTGATGCATGGAAATGCTTATCCCTTGCACTTGCATTTAATAAAACCAGGGAGACAAAGAAGAGGGAGCCCCAATCTTGGCTCCCCCCACCCCATACTGCCTTAGCATCTCTATTACAGTTATTTGTATGCAGCAGCTTTAAAACTACAACCACCAATCTTCCTTAAACTCTCCTTCCCTTTGTGAAACTTAAGTCGCCTTCCATGTTGCATATGTATCATTCGGGTGGGAGCTGGCAAGTTTTCTCACTCCAAGGCTTTCCACTGGAACTTGGATAAAGTGCCTCTTTTCAAGGCAAGACAGGTGGTTCAGTCCCAGTTGGGCTCCTCTCCTGAGCAAAGACCACGTCAGTTGTGATGAATGAGATTGTCGTGATTTTTTAATGCGAACCGATCTCCCCTAGGAAATGAGCTGGGATCTCAAAACTCATTTCACTTGATTAGACTCCACGTCTCCATGGTGGAAGGCAAGTCTTTCATCTAATTCGGCCACATAGGACCACCTCAGTCCCTCTGCCTCCCCTAGGCAGGAAGGAGCAACAGATTTGTTTTCTGAGATGACAAGGAGCAGTTTGAGGCTGCTGTTGATGAGGCAGGAAACAAACTTTCAGGTTTCTCGAAGGTAAATCTTTTAAACGCGGTGCCTGAGTTGGGCATTGACAGGGTTCAGTGTAGAGCTGGACATGACGATGTCCCCTTTAGTTCTCCCTTTTCCTCGCCGTACTTCCTTATGATTTATACAAGAAAAAGCACTTCCTGTTTCTATTAATGAATTCTACGAGGAACTTTAAAATTCCCAAGAGTCTGTGAGTGCGCGAGAGTAAGACAGACAGACAGACAGACAGACAGAGGAGACTCCGGCCAGGGTCTATGTGCGGGGCCACTCCATCACTTCTGGGAGAGAAGTCCTTCAGGGAGTCCGTTGTCATTACAGTTACTAAATTCTTTTCGATGTGGCCCAGGAGGGACTGGCTTACTTCATACATGAACATTGCTCTTAGGAGTTTCTTGGGAATATACTCATGTGAGTATTCACACACGGGCCTGTTCTATTGCTAAATAATAGAATGAATGCTTCTTTGTTGTGCAAACTTTTGCACTGGACAACAGGAATACAACATCTTAATTTGTGCTATATTTTAAATCTATTTATTAAAATGTATATTGTGGCTTTTCAACTCCATTGGTGTCTATGAAACAGGTTCTCATCAGCACGTTTTTAGGGGAGCTAAATGTGTGAAACGCCAAAATAATTTATAAGAGTTATTGTTTTTTAATGACATGGGATATACTCAGACCTTAGCAGGAACCCCAGGCTTTACAAGGCCACGCGGGGACAAAAATATCTGGCTGTTTCAGCCGCTGTGGAGGCCGCCTGACTTCAGGTCAGTTTGTTTGAATGTCTATTGAACACCCACTTCTACGCCAGGCACTGTTCCAGGAATTACATGAAGCAACGGAGACTGGTCCAGAGGAAAGGGGGTAAGGCCATTCCAGGAGGAGGGGAGGGCATCCGAGAAACTGTAAAAGTTGAGCAGGGTGGGAAGTCAAGTATGACACGGAGGGTCAGACAGCAGACTGGTGGAGGCCCTGCAGGCCAGGAGAGGGGTCTGGAGTTGGGCTGTCAGGGTGTCGGGCTGCTGGAGAACCTAACACCAGGGTGTGACAAGTCGGTCAACAATTCGGTGCATGGAAAACGGATTTGCTTAGGTTGCCACCTGACCAGTTTTACCTTTGTTATCTATCAACTCACCTGAATTCGGATTAACAAAGTAGAAACTTATTTTAATGTTGATTTTGGAATATCAGTAACACTAATGATGTATATTATCTGTGATAGATAGGATAAGGATTTTCACCCAGGAAGGAGACTGGGCCTCATCACCACTCTGGGGACACTTGTCTTATACCCGAGGAATCGAAGTCACACAGGTTTCGCATATAGTACATAGGAACCCACGTTCTTCCTGGTCCCCGTTTATTTTCCTTAGCGAGAGTGGCACAGTATTAGTGATAGTAACAATGCCAATACTGTTAATGGTATTTTGTTTCAGCACTTTTATGCATATTTTAAAATTTGACCCTCCCCTCTTGAAGGAGTTAGGTTATGAAATAGCCACATTTTACAGACGAGGAGACTGGGGTTTAGAAAAGCCAAGCAACCAGCCCAAAGCCTCATCAAATATAAATAGCAAAGCCTGGCCTCGAGCCTGCTTCGTGTGACCGAGAATCCAGGACTGACCCCTCTGAACCCCTGGTCCTGGGTAGCGGATCTCAGCAGCCGGTGCAGTTTGCTACAGAGTCCTGCTCAGGCACATGTGTAGGGCTTAGCTGCTGTATGACCTTGCTCTCAAGTTGACAACCAATCCTTAGAGAGGCCCTTATGCTCGCAGGAGGAACACTGGGAGCTGCAGGTTCTCCTGCCTGAATAGTTCAAGTGCAGAGTCACCAACACACAGCAGTTTCTTCACAGTTCTTCCAAGGTTACGATATTTGTTCCTAAAATGGTAAAAATGTCCTAGCCAATAGGATGCATTTTCTAATACTGGATTCAAGATTTCTCATTATTTTCTCAAAAAATGGCTGTTCAGGTTCATTAACTAAGAATGAATTGTTACATAGTGCCGAGATCCGCTTTGCAGTTGTAGTAGGACATGAGTCAACCCAGTGCCATGAACCCAGATGAGATCTCCATAATTACGTTTTGGTGAAATTATTAGAGTTAATAATAAAATAATAACAGCTAACACTTATGGAGTACTTCTGTCAGATGATGTGCTGAGGACCGAATGCACGTTACCTTACCTAGTCTTCACTACAACCCCGTGAGCCAGGTACCAGTATTTCTCCAGCCATTAGGGGAGGAATGTGGGACTCAGAGACACTGAGTGAAATAAAGAGAGACAACGCTGGAAATCCAATCTCTGGCTCCCGACTCCAGAGCCTGGGGTCCCGGACGGTATAAATAACATCTTCGCCGTCTTACTCTGTTTCCTCGGGGTTATATTTTAAGAGTAAACCAGACAGGAGCTTTAAACTCAGTACATTTTTTTGACGACATGAAACAAATTGAGAAATAAGCCTTTGCATGGCATGGCTGTCATGTTTTTTTTTTTAAACCAGGTTTTTGCAAATATCAAGGATAAAAAAGGGTGACCTAAAAATTTAAACTGTAACAGCAACAATCATTGGAAGGTGCAAAGTCAAATACATGTGATTTTCCCTCGGGCTCTAAAGGTTCAATCTGATTTTTTCTTTTCTCTTTCTGAGGCAAATTCTATACAAATGGCTAAAACCAAGAGGTGGTGGGTGAGTACTTCTAGCAAAAGGTACTACCCCCCTCCTTGCAGATTCAAGGTCAAGACATAGTTTTAGCATCCTTGCAGTCGGGATGGTGCGGTACGCTTTCTGACTGCGACACCTGAAGTCACGTCACAAAGTGATGGGCTTTGATCGTCTCTTAGAAAACCTTCAGGAAACCCATTTACACCTCTGATGTGAATGACTGGGTGAATATATTTCAATGACTTTGGTGGAGAGGGTGAAGTGTCAGATCTGAGACACTGGGACTTAGTCACATTAAAACGCCCACCAAACCCTTCCCCCCAAATAACAACAAGAACAACAACAGAACTGTGAATGCACTTCTCTCAACGGCAGGAATTGTAAAGGAAGGCAAAACTGAAGTGAACTGTAACTTTCTCTTCAACAGAAAACACTATCAAGAGGTTTTGCCGCAGCAACCACTGCAATGACACAGAAGGAAAACCGACTCCCTAGGCCTCGGTCTCCGGGGTGCTGAAGGGGTAGCCTTGGGAGAGGCGCTCTGCAGTTTTTCATGAACCCCACTTTTGCAGAGTGACAGAATCTCAGTTTTGCAAGGGATCTCAGACCGACCCTGGTCCAGCCCTCACGGGACGTGTGGTGCCCTTTGCCTGTGTCCCTCCTTTGCTCTGTGTGGGTGTGACGGCTGTCCCGTTGCAGAGCTCCCCGGGGAAGACTGTGTGCTTGCTCGTCAGGCAATGTGCACTGCCCCCCTGGCTGGCGCTCTGACAAGGAGGGAGGTCTTTCTTCTACTGACGCCAAAGCCCTGTCTGCCCCGGCTGCCCTGTCTTCTCCTCCGAGAGCCACACAGGGCTGTCTCACCCTCTCCTTCCTTGTGATGGCTTTTCTTTTAAAATTTTATTCTTCAATTGCAGTTGACTTTTGATATCATTTTATATTAGTTTCAGATGTACAGCATAGCACCAAGACAACCATATACTATACAAAGTGACCTCCCTGATCACTCAAGTACCCACCTGGCACCTCGCATAGTTTCACACAGAACAACTATCCGTTTGTACTTCTTGATCCCCAGCCACCTCTCCGGCAACAATCACTCTGATCTCTGTATCTGCGAGTCTGTTTCTGTTTTGTTTTTTCTTTTTTTTTTTTTTTTGGTTCTTTAGATAGCCCTTTAACTGCTGCTTTTCAATGGTGTAAATAAACTCTCTGCACTCTAAAACTGTACTGCATTTTTCAGGGCTATATTTAAGAATAACGGAGAAGTGAGCCTTTGGGTGCCCACACTAAGTCTTCTCCAGGCTGAAAGTCTGGGCCCTCCCACCGCCCCTCCCAGGGAGGGTGTCGAGCCTTTTCTCAGACGTTAGCTCATGCAGCACTCGTTTAATAAAAACCGACCGGAACTCGGAAGTAAGGCCAAACCAGGACTCAAGTCCTTTCATCGTCATCCTGGAGCGTGGTCTGAGAGGCCGGGCCAAGGGTTGTTTACCGTATTTTGCTGTGTACAATGAACATTTTTTTTGCCCAAATTTTTGAAGGAAAAATAAGGACGCACATTATACATGGGTGGTGCCTGAAACACCTTGTATCTGTTCTTGTGTTTTGTAATTATGTGTTACGTAAAATTTCTTGTACCATAATAT